TTTGTCCTCTTGCCCACTAGAATTGCATAGGAGTGCTATTGCTTAGGCTTGCTAGACTAGGTTATTGTAGTTGTTATTAGGTCCCACCTTTGCCTAATGTTATTTATTTCATTATTTGTAGAAGTTTTTAAATAGGGCACCATTCACATCCCCTCTAGCCCTCAACCTACTTACACGCGCGTCGCTTGCCCACCACTACTGCACAAATCTTTCTGGAGACGGGCGTTTTGGAAACCGAGGCAGGCAGCGCAACCGCCTCGAACAAAAGGTCACGGTTAATACACAAACTATCGAGGCAGTTGTCTACCCGCCTCGGTGGTTAATCAATAAAAAACAAAAAAAAATCCAGCGAGCCCATCGATGGAGCCCGCTAAGCCCATCGACGAGGCCTGCCAAACCCATACAAGCGTCGCCGCTCGTCAGATCCATGTGCGCCATCGGCATGCGGGCACATGACCCCGACGCAGATCCGCCGCCCATGGCGCATCCACCTCCCAAGGTCACCACCGGCCAGATCCGACCTCCCTGCGCCACCGGCCGGATTCGACATCCCTGCATCACCACCGGCTATGGGGGAGAAGGGCGTCGCCAAGCTCGGAGGGAGAAGGTGCACCGCTGTGCTTGGGAGGGAGAGGGTGCGCGTGTCGCCGTGCTCAGGAGAGAGAGTGCGAGGGAGAGAGCGGAGGGTGCCGTCGCCCGTTGGGCTCGCGACTCGGAGGGAGGAGCGCGACGCTCGGCTGCGTGACTGCGGGGAGGGGGGAGAGAAGTGCCACTGGAAAACCTAAGTGCTCCTTATATACGTGGCTAAGCTAATGGGCCGGCTGGGATCCAGGCCTTTTTCTGAGGTGGGCCATTTCGAAGGTCCACCTCCGAAAATGGAGGCATTTTTGGAGGCCCGCCTCAGTTAATAGATTTTAGGAGGTGGTTTCGTTAGGGCAACCGCCTCGGTTAATATGCATTAACCGAGGCGGTTCTATTAAGTTGCCCGCCTCGATTAAGCATTAACCGAGGTGGTTGCTGGGCCGGCTGCCCTGCCACGAATAACCGAGGCGGGCAACCGGCTCAACCGCCTCGGAGGCCTTTTTTTCAAATGCCTCGGTTAAGTTTTTGTGTAGTAGTGCACAACTCTTGCCCCGCACGCTGCTATGTAGGGATAGAGCTAGGAGAGAGGGGGGAGAGAGATCATGAGATGAGATAGCCCAGATGTTGGTGAGGGAGGAGAGGATAACAAAGATGAGCCTGTGGATGGATAGAATATTAAATCTAGTGAGGTGAAAATTTCGGTCCGCTCAATTTATCACTGTTGGTTCTTATCATGAACAAGTAGTTGTACATGGACTTGTACTGCCGAATATTGCCATTAATTGGCAGTGATATATCTGGTAATGAAAGGCTACCTACCACTACCGGTTGTAGCCATGAACTGGTAGTGGCTGTATATTCTATAGTAGTGATGTGGTGGAGATGCGTCGAGAGGGTGGAGGTGTGTATTGACAGAGAGGTCATTGCAAAGAAGTTGTAGAGGGTTGGAGCATCTCGAACAAATTACTTATCTCATCCCCATTACCAAAAAAATGCAATATAAGGGCTTGTAGTCACTTCAACAGATTACTCTCATCCTATCCCCAATACTAAAAGTTTCAAGTAACAACTTAAAATCCAACCCCCTTCCCTCAATTTTTCTCAAATGTAGGTGATCCACTCCCTCTCCCCTATCTACTTTAAATGTATTGGTAATCTATTGGGAGAGGAGAACCTACACTACTAATAACAAAATATCACCAGTAGACTTTTAGGGATTGATGGTCTTATGCCCTCTTTGTCCTCTATGCATGAGCCTCTCGTTTGCCATTGGACGCAGAAGGGAGAAAGCAACGCGCTAGCGAGCATGCAATAGTTACTCTCACATGTCTCCCAACAAAGCTTTTCTCTTAACTTGCAGGGCTCAGCACTCACGTATTATTTTTTCTATTGTTTCTAGAGATAACCTCGCCCGACGATTTGCATCTCTGGTTGAGGACGCCCTAAACAGGATGGTAGCTCAGAGCTAGCTTGTTAGAGCAAGTACAATAATTGGCTTATAATCAAGAAAATGCTTATGTGGAGGAGAGAGAGATGAGGGCTTGGCTCTTATACAAACAATAAGCTGGCACAAAAACATATGCATGGGTGGGCCCATACATTAAGGGGGTGTTTGGGACTGCTCCGCTCTACGTTTTTTTTAGCCAAAACGGTTTTAGCTCAACGCACTCTGTTCGAGAAAAAAGGGTGGAGTTGTGAGAGCACCTAAAGAGGTGTTCAACGAACTCCAGTTTTTTTTTCGGGAGCTGCTCCACGATAGAGTTTGTGGACTAGAGTTCGTGGAAGCAGTCATAAACACCCCCTAAGTGAATGTGAGGAGAATTATAAAAGACAGGGTAGTACATGGATAAAAATAACAATAAAAAAATTCTTAGAGATAAATAAGAGAGTATTTTATATAATTTAGTTTTTACAATTTGACTAATAGCCGAATACTTAGACTCTGTTACTGGATTCGCTCTGGGTCGCACTTGTGTGCAACTAGTACTATTGGCGAAACACAGCCTGTCCAACACACGCACGTGCAGTGTTCCCACAGGACAAAGGATTTTATACTGCGGTCAATCTGAGCCGGTTCCCTGCAACTCTGCAAAGCTGGCAGGAATTATTAGGAACACTGTGCAAGGTCTCCGCATCCATGGCACGCGTGCATGTCGCGACGAATGGCCCTGATTCGGCGAGTCCTGTGACTCCTGACCTGAAAATGCTTGTCTTGGCACCATTTTCACAGCTCTGTGCCGCCGTTTCATTTTTTTTTTTTTACCCACACGTCCGATCGACGGATCGAGGAGCTAGGCCGGCTTTTGCAAGTACATGTCCTGTGTTCGTGGCCTGGTCCTGAGGCAGCTACAAACAGATATGGACCGGTCCGTGCGAAACGAAACACTGTCAGATAGGGATAGCGATGCCAACAGTACAGACAAGGCTCCATGCGGACAGGAAAGGAGGAGCCCCCACTTGGATTGGAGCGGAGCATCAGGAGAACCTTGGACATGGACCGTCTCCGTCCTAGACGCGCTGCGCACACTGATGATCTTCCCAGCCCTCCCAACCACAAGTGTGGTGTTAAATGATCCGTGCATGAGAGGAGCTAGACACACTGCTATGCTGTCAAGAGGGAGCCCCCGGAAGCCGGATGAGAGCAAACAACAAACGATGGATTCATTTGTCCATGCATGGATGGCGGCATATGCATGCGTGTTTAATTTGACATGCAGCACCACATACAGGAGTATTTTTGTATAGAGATACATATCGGTGTTTGCAGTTTGCATGCATGGAAGGGAGTTGGACCATTTTGCATGCAGGTCACTGTATCTAGCTTCCAGCTGCTAGCTAGCTCCTTTCAGCATGCATGTACAGATACCAAACGTGTACCTTGTGGTGGTTCGTTCCTTGTACCGTGCCTGCTCTGCTCGGCCTTCTTCAGTAAACACAAGGGTACTTGGCTACTTGCTCAAACAGTGCAGCAAAACTGAGTGGTTAGGCGTGTTTAATTTGACATGCATGAGGCATGTGCTATAGTAGGGAGTATATGCCAACATATGCAGCACCACACAGTACAGGAGTATTTTCCATGGAGATATACGTATGATATATTGGGCATATTGGTGCTTGCAGTTTGCATGCATGAAGGGAGTTAGTTGGAGCATTTGGCAGGTCACTACTATATCTTCTTCCTGCTAGCTAGCTCCTTTCGCCACAAATACCAATGCCACTTTCTTTGGCAGTACTTCAGCAGTACTCACTGTTCGTCTAAACAGCCGTTTAGCCCGTTTAAACACCGTGTAAACGCTACACAGTGGTACGCCGTTTCCGTTTAATCATCCGTTTAGCCCGTTTAATTGGCCGTTTAGCCCGTTTAATGGACTATTTAGCCCGAATAATGGTTAAACAGCAGGTGATCGACTGTTTACGGTTTAGCGTTTAGGAAAACATTTCAGCGAACAAACAGTGTTTTTCTCTCACAACAAATCCTCCTAAGCCAAATTTCAGTGAAACTTGAAGCTTGTACGGTGTAACTTGTGGTGGTTCCTTGTACTGTGCCTGCTGTGCTCTGGTCTGCTCTGCTCGGCCTTCTTCTTTGATCAGTAAACACAAGGGTACTTGCTCAAACGTACAGTGTGCAGCAAAACATAGTGGTTAGGCGTAATTAACTTTATTTGGAGTCGTGTTGTACCACAAGTACTAACTCCACCGTACCTCGTACATTTCCACTTTGAAACCCGCTAGCTGCATGGTACCTCGTACCTTGTACGGTAGCAATAATGCTTTCCTTTACAAGACCTGAGTGCAGTACATGAGTGGCGAAGGGCCAATGGGAAGTAAAAGCCGCCATTTCTACCCGCTAGCAGCTTCATTTTCCAACACAATAGTACTAGTATATAGCTGCTTCAATTTGCAGGAGGTAACTAGAGTACTTGATGGTTAAATTACCAAGCAAACCATGAAATTAAACTAACGATGCATTGATGCATGCATCTACTTACATTTTTATTTATTGATCAGGCAGGCCAATAATAGCTAGCAGCGCCCTTTGAAAACTAGAGAAAAAAAAAGGAAGGAGAAATAGAGACAAATTCACAAGACAAGCGTCCCAAACCGACCAAAAAGGCAACGAAAAGACCGTACTTACGCCAGAAGGAAGGAAAGAAAGAAAGAAAGAAAGACGACGGACACAACCGTACCGCAGCTGCAAGTTGCAACCTTTTTTTTTCAGTTTTGTTGAGCTATACTAGTAATAAACACTACTACGTACTCTCTACCAAGTTGCAACTATGTACCTCCAGATTCTACACAGACAGAATCATCCGGCGATAAAAGGAGAGGAGAGGGGAGGAGATTAACATTTAACAGGAGTTAATTACACAGAGTAGTAGTAATTTGATTAGCACGCAGACCGATCGATCGAGAAGCAATCACAAGTTCCACAGGAGGGCACCAACCGACTGCGCCCATCCGTGATCGCCGTCCAGCCCGAACAGATCGTCGTGCTGCGCCGCCACGTAGCCGCCGGCAGCGGCGTCGACCCACAGCATGTCGTCGCACCACGGCGCCGGTGTCACGACGTCGTGGAACGACGACAAGCAGGGCGTGGCGCCGAACGTGGTCACGACGTAGTCCTCGTCCAGCCGCGGGAGCTCCACGATCGCCTCCAGCTCCTCGTCCTGCTGCTGCCCGGCCGCTGGCAGAGCGGCGGGCTGCAGCTGCAATGCGGCGCCGGCGGCTTCCGCGGGTCGTCCATGCCCATCTGGAACTGGAAGCAGGGCAGCAGCTGGCTCCATGGCCGCGGCGCGCGCGGCGGCGGCCTGGACGTCGCGCGGGGACGCGGAGGCCGGCCGCGGGAGCGCGGCGGCCATGTCCGGGAAGTTGAGCACCGCGGAGGGGCCCTTGACGACGAGCGCGGCGGCGTCGTGCGCGCGCGCCGCCATCTCCGGGGTCGGGAACGTGCCGAGCCAGATGCGCGACTTCTTGCGCGGCTCCCGGATCTCCGACACCCACTTCCCCCACGCCCGCATCCGGACGCCGCGGTACGACGGGTGCCTCCCGCCGTCCGTGTTCGTGTCCGGCCGCGCCCGCTTCTGATGATCCGCTCCCCAGCCGCCGCCGCGGCGCCTCGTCCCCGGCGATGGCGGCGGCGAGGACGACGTGCCCCCGGACGACGCCGGGCTGGACACCTCTCCCTCCGGCATTACTAGTGATGGATGCAACAAACCCCCCAACCAAAGCGATCGATGGCAATGGCGATCGATCGAGCTGGGCGATGATCGGCGTGCGCGCACGTGTGGGTCGGAAGGTTGGAACTTTCTTGGCTTGGCTACTTGTGCGAGGCGAGCTAGCCAGGTGCTGCTGGCCGCTGCGATGAGATGAGACGAGAGAGTAGAGAGCGGTGGAGGACGACGACGAGTGAGAGCTGAGAGAGAAGAGGGCGCGGTTTTAGTAGTGGCTGCCTAGTTGTTGGACCGTGACATCTCAACAAACAAGGACGCTGCGTGCCCGGAGCGACGTCTGTTACGACGTTGCACTGCATTGCCCGGGAAAAGCAAGTGGCAGTGATTATTAAAAACTGCCGAATAAAAGTGTGTGCAGGTGAAGTGCCATATATATATATATACTTTCCATTAGAGAACTATTTCTACTACTACATCGTATATATATACTCCTAGATAGATAATGTATCATACTCCTATAGATACTCCTATACATTATTAAGGCATGCTACTCCTACGTGAACGAATCAACCCCACCTAGATAATTATCATTAGAAGTCGTTAACTTACGGTTGGCGCGTCATTACCGTCTGGTTTATTATTATGACTAGACTGGCCTTGTGCTTCTAAGTGGATTATAAATATTTAACGATCGATATGAGTAGTAATTGTCTCCTTAAATGTTTGCCTAATTAATTGCTGTCATCTTTCCAGTGCAATGCAAGCCAGGGGCGGCTGATTAGATGAGATGGATTAATGGATACAGCTTTTCACAGTTTATTTAGTTGTCATTACCGTACAAAGTAGCTATTGTCCAATTATTGTCTGTTCTAAAGAAATAAGGACCACACACATCAGAGTACAAGTCCTTTATTTTTATTTCGGATTGTTGCTAGCTGCTACTGGAGGTAGCCAGTACTCCGTACCCTATAAGCAGGCAGGTCAAATTAAACTAGTTGACGTTATATAGGGAACCAAATATGACCCATCCACTAAAAACATGAGAAAATTTAACAGATATACCTTGGATGTCTAGAACCTTACAAAACTCGGTTTGTTTGGCACGAGTTCTTGCGGCTCCAGCTGCTCCTACACTTTCTTCTACACCTCGAACAGGGCATTTTAGAATTTTTCTCCTTCCTCAAAAAAGGATTTTTCTCAACATGTTGTTCCTATTAGCCCCAATTAGCTACTTTTACCAATTAGTTGCCAAACAACTACTTGAGGACTTATTAGCCCATCTATTACCTGGTGTTTGCATTGGATGGACTGGCTAATTTTTTAAACCCAAGGGATACAATGAAGCCCAGAACCGGTCTATTTGTCGTTATGGTATACTCCATCTGTTCTAAAATATAAGGGATCCAGTTTTTTCATAAGTCAAACTATACTAACTTTTACCAAGCTTATACCAAAGAACAAAAATATGTAGGACTTTAAATTAGTTAAATTGGATACATTATGAAATATTTTTATATAAGAGTAAATTTCACTGGCGGTCCTCGAATTTGTCCTAAGTTCTCGTATAGGTCCTAGTCACTACCAAAATGGTGGAATTCTCCTAGTATTTTTAAGTAGTAATAAAACAATACCACTAGTCATAGTACATGGGAGTCCTCACTAGGAGACATTTGGTAGGGAAAGTTTAGACTAAATTTTGAATGTTAAAAACACTAGGAAAAGCCCACATGAGTAGGAGAAGTCTAAAATTCTGGTTGTGGGTACTTCCAAATTGCACACTTAGCTCCCTAAACCTGGTCGTCACCTCGACAAACCGCACATCTTGTGCCCATCTTACCTGCATAGCCATGTAGCATTGCACCATGCTTGCCCTGCTACCCCGCGCCTGCCTATGTTGCATCATCGGCATGGTGCCGCACCCACGTTGCCACGCTAGGTCATGTTGTGCCTGCCGCGCCACCATGTCGCGTGGCAGCCCCTGCTCGATAGGGGAGAGGAAGGAGTGCGGTTCTAGAGGTGGTGGTGTTGAATGGGACCACGTCGAGGTGGGGGCTGGCGCCATGTTGATGTGAAGCGAGAGCGAGTCAAGCGAAAACAGGGAGGGCCACGGCGGCGAAGACTCGACTAGACGTGCGGTAGGGCAAGCACGGCAATGGCGGCCAAGCAGTGTAGTAGGTCCTAGAAAGCTAGGTCTGGACATTCCTCCTGAGCTTCCACCGCATGTCTTGGTCCCCGTGAGATACACCACTATGGGTGGACGAACATGGTGCAGTGCAATGTGGCCGCACAAGTGTGGAGGGCACATGCAATGCAATGTAGGGGAATGGGATAGACCAGGATGGTACAATATTACATGTTACGGAGTTGAGTGTGTAGCATTCGTTCTAGGGCGGCTCATCACTAACAATATACTGGTGGCCTATGAGAACATCCACTTCCTCAAAAAGGAGAAAGACAAGTCTAGAGCTGGTGCAGTGAAACTTGATATGGCAAAAGCATATTACAGAGTTGAGTGGGTTTACATCTGCGACATCATGATTAAGCTAGGCTTCCGAGAAAGTCTGGTGAACTTGATCCTGAATTTCGTGGAGACTGTCAGGTTCTCAGTTAGGGTGAATATGCATTTGTCAAATGATTTATCTCCCTCTAGTGGAATTAGACAAGGTGACCCCATATCGCCCTGTTGACCTACGGGATCACCGGCTGACGACAGTGAACCAGATAGCCTCCAGACCACTAGCCTCACACCCCTGGCCTCCAGACCACTAGCCGTGCCGACCACCGTACCGGCTTTGTCCGTACCCACACACTATGGATCGAGCTAGAAGAAGAAGGGAGAACAGAGCAAGCACGCACAATACAAGACAACAACGTTGGTCGAGGCCCTGTCTGTGTGATGGCAAATCTGAGCTCTCTTTACTGAGTTGCCTTGGTGCCCTATTTATACAACTCTATCTATCTAACCAAAGTACAGCGCACATGCTGTAACAGTTACTAGATAAGCATAAAGGGCCGACTCTGCGCCGGCCACTGCATGTGCCTACAATGCTGTAGGTGAGTCGTGCGGCGCCTGCACCTGCAGCGGCTACCGTATCACAGCAGGGGGCAAAGTCAGCGCCGCCTTCCTCTGCTGTGTTTACACAAGGTGGCAGTAGATTAGCTAACAATCTTCCCCTAATCCTACTGCTAACCCTTGCACCCCTCCATGCCGATCATCTCCTTCAGCTCCGTGAGTCGAAGTCGTCCGAGCGGCTTGGTGAGGACTTCCGCGAGTTGCCGACCAGTTTCGACAAACTCGATGACGATCTGCCCTCCATCAACACAGTCCCTGAGGAAGTGGAACTTCACGTCGATGTGTTTACTCTCCGGTCGTCGTAACCGGATTCTTGCGAAGGCGATGGCGGGCTGGTTGTCCACCATCAGTGCTGGTGGGTGAGCTTCCACGCCGGTTAGCTCGCCCAACAGCCGGCGTAGCCACACAACTTGGCACGTCGCTGTGGCCGCCGCTACGTACTCCGCCTCGCACGTAGATAGCGCTACCACCTTTTGTTTCAGCGACAGCTATGAAATTGGGGCTGACCCGAGGAAGACGAGTATGCCAGAGGTGCTCCGTCGTCCGTCGATGTCCCCCGCCATATCTGCATCGCTGAACACCGTGAGCCGCAGCCTACTTCCCCCGGTCTTTGGGAAGATGATTCCATGATTCACCGTCCCCTTGATGTAGCGTAGTAGCCGTTTTACCGCAGCCCAGTGATCCTCCCTGGGATCCTCCATGAAGTGACTGACGTAGCCCACGGCGAACGCAATGTCCGGCCTTGTGTGGACTAGGTAGTGCAGACCGCCGACGATGCTCCGGTAGAGTGTTGCATCCACTTTCGTCGCGGTGCTGTCCTTCGTCAGCTTCAGCCGCTCCTCTATTGGAGTCACGCATGGCTTGCACTCCACCATGCCGCTCCTCTCCAACAGTTTGGAGGCGTACGCGCTCTGCCCGAGCGTGAGTTCCTCCTTCCCTTGCATCACCTCGATGCCGAGGTAGTAGGAGAGTGCGCCGAGATCGCCCATTCGAAAACGAGCTGCCATCTCGCGCTTGAAGCTATTGAGGTCCTCTGTGCGTGCGCCGGTGATGATTAAGTCATCCACATACACGCCAACCATGAGCTCTTCCTTCCCCCATCGTCGTGTGTAGAGCGCGTGCTCAGTTGCACACCTCTGAAACCCAAGCTCGCCCAGCATGGTGTCAAGCTTGGCGTTCCATGCTCGAGGGGCTTGCCACAGCCCGTAGAGCGCTTTGCGCAGTCGGAGCACCCTGTGCTCCTCTCCCTTGACAGCGAACCCGGCAGGTTGCCTGACGAAGGCTGTTTCCGCCAGCTCGTCGTTGAGGAAGGCCGATTTAATGTCCAAGTGATGGACGCGCCATTCCTTTGCTGCCGCCAAAGCAAGTAGCAAACGGACCGACTCCATGCGCGCTACTGGCGCAAAGACCTCCTCGAAGTCGATGCCCTCGCGCTAGACAAAGCTTCGGGCGACGAGGCGCACCTTGTGCTTGACGATGGCGCCGAGCTCGTCCCTTTTGACTTTGTACACCCACTTCAGGCTGATCGGACGGCATCCTGGGGGTGGATCGACGAGCTGCCAAGTCTCGTTTTCCTCGATCGCCTTCATCTCCTCCAGCATTGCCCGTCGCCAGTTTCCATCGCTCTCGGCTAGCGCGAACGTGGGTGGTTCCTCCGCACTGACGAGTAGCAGCTCTGTGTCATTGAGCAGCCTGGCCACCAGTCCTGAGGGACCTGTGCTGCCGACGATATCGTCCAGCCTATGGAACCTCAACTCCTCCCCTTCGTGGTAGGCGTCCACGAACTCAGTGGTATCACTTGGAGGTGAGATGAACTCGATCGGGGGCGATGGAGTTCCTTCTTCCGCCGGAGTGCCCTGCATAGCACCCGAAGTGCTCAGCACTTCTTCTGGACTGCTCGTCATAACTCCTGCAGTGTTCGGCCACACTGTAGGAGTGCCCAGCCTCA